CTTACCCAGGCAGGGCCCAGGAATGAGTCTTGTGATCCTCTTCAGGGAATAAGGGTGGAAGGAATGAGTTCCCCGAGAGCTTTGTTTCCTCACATGTCAGGGTACCGTGTGTGAAGAAAACATGTGGACAGACCACATCCACAATGAAAAAAACCACAGTAAATTAATTAAATGCAACAAATTCATATAAACCAAGAGACTTTCTTCAATATCCGTGGTAGGATCACAACTTCCTGATTTTATAATATGTGTTTTATAGAAGCTAGAACAACTTTTTTCTCAGAATAATTGGTCTGAAGAAGTCAGAAAATGAGAAGATAAAATAAAACAAGGGACTTAGCCTTTATGTAGTCGACAAAACATGCAAAAGAGTTGCCTCTTGACTCTGACAAAACAATGAAAGTATTTCTAAGGCCAATCAGGCTTGAAGATGATTCTGAAGTGAAACAACACACATTTGCAATCGGATGTTCTTTGTATGTTCATAACTTTTTCCTCCCTATCACCCAGTTAAGGCTTAGCCTTCCCTGCATCTCCACAGTTCAAGTTCAGGCACTGGGAGACACCACTGTGAAGTGTGCACCAGGTCGACCTCTCCCAGCCCAAGGATCTTCTTGTTCCAGCTCTGTGGTCATTGGAAGTATAATTTCTTTTCCTCCCACTGGAATGTGCCAGTCATGGATGGGCTATGTTTAGTATTCTTCCCTCAATGAATCCATCATAGTTGCTTTTACTCAAAAATTACATTAGATATGAATAAATAAAAGGCAACAAGTTGATAAAAATATGCCATTCATTCACAATGCAGAACTACACTGTTATAAGGAAGGATAAATTCAAATCATTTGTAGAAAAACAGATTAATCTTTTGTCCATAACATTAAGTGAAAGAAATAAGAGGCACAAAATTAAATATTGCATGGTTTCTCTTATTTGAGAAATGCAAATTAGAAATGAATTGAACCAAAAGATGGTAGATAATACCACACAGGAAGGCAGTCTATTGCAGATGTAGGAAGACCAGGACCTGTTTCACTTTCCCCAGTCTTGGGTGCAGCTGGGTCCACTTTCTCTGGATGGCTCTGCTGTGTCTTTCTTCTCCCTCCTGTCTCCATGGCTGCAGTCTGTGACTCCTGTTGGAGAGCTCTGTGCTGCTGGACTCAGAGCTCTGCTGCTTTCTGCTTAGGGATGAAGCTTTCCTTACTGATCCTGAGTCACCAGCAGGGAGGAGGACGTGCAGAGATGCAGAAGCCTTGGTGTTCTGGAGACAATGGGGAGAGGCAGTGCCTGTTACAGAGCTGCTGGCCAGCCTTTCCCCCATGTCTCTGGCTATAACCATGATGCCTGGGCCTTGTCTGCAGTCACCTCCCAGGTGGGTTTCTTCTTCCATGTAGGAGGCAGAGTTGCAGGGAGCAGGTTCCTGGGTGAGGCCTCTGAAGCTCTTGGTTTCCTTCAGGATGGTAGAACCACTCTGAGATGGGATGTGCAGGGAGCAAGGAGCAGGGGGTGCTGCTGACCAGCTTCCCCTTCTCAACCCACCTGGTATTTGATTCAATCTAGAAGATTTGGCTTTCTGATTGATCCTTCATAACAGGGATCATTTGCCTCGCTTTTCAGAAAATACCTGCTGTAATGAGTTGATCTTTTGATTTTCACACATGGACCACAATCTGTAATTGGACATAAAGGGATTGTCCTCACAGTCATTGTTTTTATTTGGGAAGAACCAGAAATCAGAGATTTTCACATCCAGTTAAAAAGTGGATGAATGGACACCCTAAGTTTCTAGGAGCCTCAATATCCCCTTGAGGGGACTGAACAGCAAATCTCAACTGGTCACGAAGAGGACTCCCTGAAATATATCAGGAATGCAAGAAAGATGTGTTATGTGTTGAAAGTGACATGGTGGATTTTGAGGGGGATTAATAGCTATTATCTCTTATTGTAATGAAATTTTAATTTAATTATTCAGCATATTTTAACCACACCATTTGTATTTGTAATGAATATTAGATATTGTAATGGATATTTTTCTTTTTATTCTCCTACTGCATCCTGTTTCCTCATAGTGTACTGAGATACCATTATTTGTTTGAATACAAGTTTTCCCTCTACAATGTATGACACTTGAGGGTCCAGGTCACTTTTACAAATATCCTTTAAGGCAGATTTGGTTTAAAGTTGGACTTCCACAAGAAAATGTTTTCAAGAATGGAATGAACATATTTAATTTATGTATATCTTTTCAGACATTTTACCTGTTAAATGAGTGGAAATATCCTTATCATGGGACTCATTAACAATGGCAGGAATGGTTCAAACTGAGAAAGTGAGCATAAACACACTGTTGGCAGAGCCAGAATTTTCTCAGCCTTTCTTGGGATAAGGTCTCTTAATTCATTCTTCTTGGATCAGAGAAAAGGCAAGAATTTCCATGATGCTTTATTTTTCTTCTATTTTGAGTTAAGTCATCCTCCCAACCAACTACACAACTCCGCCTGGGCTCCTTGCAGTGGGTGCCTGGCAGCCTGTGGTGTTCCATGAGGTGTAGACTCCACTTGATGTTCGGCTCTGAGCATCACCCTGCACTAGTAGAGGAGGTCTGAACACATTCATATTATACTGTGTGATCATACTATAAGTTCCTCAGGGAATTTGACTCTCAAATAAAGATGTCAGCATTGCTATCTTGCTTAGAATTACACATTATGTAAATTAACATTTCTCCAACATAACTGGTGATATAGTAGTAATAAAGTCTGAATAGTTTAGACATTCAGGCGCAGTGACACTGACTTCTGTCCCGTAGTGCAGCTGTGGCCTCATAAGCTGCACCTTGTGATCAGTTGTGAGGAGAGAAGAATGTGTGCAGGGGTACACATGGTTCTCCACAGGATGCGGGGTCCACTGCAGGAGGTCAGGTATAGAGCTGCACCCCATTTAGAGGATGTAGCTGAAGAGCTGTGGTGAAGGCCAATCTTCACAGTGCACAGAACCTTGGGCAGTGATCCTCTGAAACATGTTGCTTGGAAAAAAATGTGTCATATGTGTGACTGTACAGATGTGTGACTATGCATCACTTCATTGTCCATAGCCAGTGGTGTGGCTAGAGGGTCGGCAGCTTGAAAGAAACATGACTGGAAAACTGGAAATAAAGACACTGGGGGGAAAACAACAATGAGATTCCACCTCACCCCAGAAAGAGTGGCTGCTATCAAGAAATCAACCAATAACAAATGCTGGTGGGGTTGTGGGGAGAAAGGAACCCTTCTCCATTGCTGGTGGGAGTGCAGACTGGTGCAACCACTGTGGAAATCCGTATGGAGATACCTCAAAGAACTAGGACTAGAAGTCCCATTTGACCCAGCTGTTCCCCTGCTGGGGATCCTCCCCAAAGAATTAAAAGAATCATACCACAGAGATATATGTGTACTCATGTTTATTGTGGCACAGTTTGTAATAGCTAAAGCTTGGAAACAGCCCAAGTGCCCTTCAACTGGAAATTCGATAAAGATGTGGTTTTTTTTTTAATAAAATGGAGTACTACTCAGCCATAAAGAATGAGAAACTAGAGTCATTTATAGCTAAACAGATGCATATTGAGGCCACACTCTTAAGTAAAATAAATAAGACACACGTGTAAATACCGAATAGTTTCTCTCGTGTGAGAAATTGAGAGTGTAAATAAGGACTAAAAGGATTAATAACTAATAATTGATACTTTGAAATATTAAAAGGTCCAAAGGGGTAGGGGTGTTGGGAGGAGATGGGGAAAGAATGGAAAAGAAAAATTATGAGAAAGGAAAACAAAATGGAAACGAAATATGTAAATAGGGAAGGGTTTAGGGGTGAAGGGTGCATAGGTAATGGGGAAACAATAAGAACCAGGATAAATCATGTACAGGTAGAAGCACCCAAAGATAAATGTAAATGTATTGTATACCTAAAATGTACCAATAAAAGAATTTAAGCAAAAAAAAAAAGACCCTGGGGGAAGAATTATAAGGATAAACCTCTTCTTATGTTTGAAGAATGTCAAAATATTCATGTAGCACCTAAATGTTCATGAGAAAGTAACATCAGAAGAATGAGACTTTAGCTAGCTTGATATAGACAACTCCATTAAGTGTATAGCAGTCTACGTTCTTTTTCAGACAACCTTATAATTGCTCCGGTGGGCTCCTGAACCAAGTGCTCATGGTGACAGAGGTGAAGGTTATGAATGGGCTCAGAAACACTGACTTGCACTCCCCAGTGCTGACCTGGCTACAGCCACTTCTGAGTGCCCAGCCTGCCAGGATTAAAGTCCAGCACTGAGCACTGATGTCACACCATTTCCCATGGTGATCAGCCTGCACCCTGATGGCAAGTTGGTTATAGTTGACTGCTTTCATCATGGATGTGGTAGCTGTTTGTCCTTACAGGGATAGACATTTTTCCTGGGTATGGATTGTCTTTCTCTGCTTGTAGCTCTTCCCAAAACTAGCATCTTTTGGCTTATAGAATGCTTCATCCACCATCAGATTGTTTTACCCAGTATTGCTTACCAAGGAATGCTCTTCAAGGGTAAGGAAGAATGCAATGGCCTCATGCTCATGGAATTCACTTGTCTTGACACACTGGCCCACATCCAGATGCAGGTGAATGAAAGGGTCCTTTGCAGATGCAATCACAGTGCTGCTATGGTGTAATACTTTGCAAGGCTGAGATGCTTTACTTGTATTTCTATATAAGCTCTTAATCAGTATCCTACATCTGGAACTACTTCTCTCATAATCAGGATACATGGGTCCAGGATTCTATCAGTAAAATCTGGAATGGTACCATTGATCATTACCCTCAAGGATCTACTAGTGATATATTTACTTTCTGTTTCTGTGACCTTATGTGCTGCTGAACTAGAAGTCAGGTCCACAAAGGAAATAATTTCTCCTAGTGGAGCAATAAGGAGTCTATTGAAATGCATTTTGAATATTTCCCCTTATTATTCTGGGCTCCTCATGCACCTGAGTCAACAGGTTATACAGGGAGTTGTGGTGCTGATTGGTGTGACTGACCCAGACTGCCAAGGAGAAATTGGACTGGTGCTCCGCAGTGGAGGTAAGGAAGAGTAAGTTTGGAATGCATGAGATTCCTTAGGATTCTGCTAGTATTATCATGTCCTGTTATTAAGGTTAAATGGTAACTACAACAATCTTATCCAACATGAAAGATAACTTGCCCAAACACTTCAGGAATGAATGTGAGGGTTATGATCCCTGCGAAGAACCCAGAGCACTTATGATACCTCCTAAAATAATACATGTTAAATCTTTGGGGGTATATTTGTATTTATGTACTATACAGCACAATAGTTATTGACTTTATATCAGAAGTTAAATATTATTATATCTATGTTATAAGTGAAGTCATGCCATGTGCAGTGGAAGCATCATCCAAAGAAAGCTCTGGGCCCTCAGATAGGGAAGAAGTTTATGTGCTCCCAGTTCCATGCAAAATAGCTTTATTATATTAGTGGAGTTATGAACTTGCTATTGTCTGGGTTTGTAAATTAGGTATGGTTTAGGGCAATGTTTCTTGTTGGGATGTCTACACGGGATGCACTGTGACTGCTAATCATCACATATCAACTTGACTGGATGAAACAATATCTAGGAGATTAGCAAAGCCCACTTCCAGAACTGCCTGTCACATATTTGAGACATGACTGGTATGGAGTTCACCAACCTGCCTGGGGAGGACCTAAGGAAACTGTGGGTCGATCAGCCAATAGAATCTCAATTCAGGTAGAATAGAAGGGGAAGAAAAAGGAGGTCTGTTGCAGTGTGTTGAAGCTCTGGGTTCCTTAGCTACTCAACTCAGCCTCATCACCAGGATACTTCAGGTAGGCTGCAGGCCTTTGATATTACAGTGGTGTTTATTTATTAATCCCTACTGTTCTCTGACTAATACATTCTTGTGTACAGCAGCTACTGGATTTTCTGTTCCTTCAGTACACAGATAACAACTGTCGGATCTGCTGGCTTTGAAATTTTAAGCCTAATACATATACATATATATATATTTATATATATCATGCATTGTGTGTTGAATATGTTTTGTGTTGAATATGTATTCTATTGATTTTGCTTTTCTAGAGAACCCTACCCAATACAGTTAATAATGATAATTTTCCTTGGCTGTATCGATTGACTCCCAGATATAAAACATGAAGAAATTAACATCCTCATACTTCTAACTTTGGTCACAGATGTGTTCATGCACATTTTCTCAAATAGCTTAAAATACATTAACCTTATTTTAATCAGGATGAACCCAAATTCTATTATCTTCATATTTTCAAAAGCCTTTCTCTTTTGAAATTTTTCTTTTCCTCTGTCATTCATAGGAGCATTATTATATATTTTAATTGTTTTTAAAACTAGAAAATTTCATTAAGAAATGAAATATTTATATGACTATTTTCCCTTATGATAATTACAAATTTAAAATAGCTTTGCTAACATTTTATCATGGTATGTAATATCTGACAGTATATATATACATAGATTACACTAACAAAATGTTATACGTAATGCATAAGAAAAAATGATAATTTGCTACTTCAAAACAAAGTTTATAGACAAATTCTAATATTGGATGGTGAAATGTATGTAGCTCGAAGTTGGGGCAGCAAGTTTTGTAAACAATATGCCCTACTTCTCATTCTGAATTCTTCACTGTACGCAAAAATACAGCAGTGGAGGAGCAGAGTTAGTAGTGTGCACACGCAGCACGGCTGTGTAGATGGTTAAGGTAGCAGAGCACTTCCCAGCAGAGAGCATTACAGAGCTGCACTCAGACACCCTAAAGGCCCAGGTTCCTCCAGGCTGCTCCAACACCTCACTGAGTCTTCATACATGCTCAGAGTAGAGCAAATGCAAGATCAACACCTGTCAGTTTGGGGCCCTGCTGAGCCCTGGTCTACCCTGCATCAATGGACAAATGTGTGGATGAGTAGGGAGTTTGATGGATGGGAGACCAGTTGGGGAGGCCAATGATCCATGGGTAGAAGAGATGCACACACAGACATACAGGATACAGAGTAAATAGGAAAGTGGGGTAGATAGAAATTTAGAGAGGTATAGATGGATGGATACATAGATGACAGACAGATGGATAGATAGACAGATAGATAGATATAGATAGGCAGGTGTATTGAGGAATAGAGAGATTGCAAACAGTAATCCTAAGAAAATTCCCAAATGCTCCCTTGTGGTGTTCTTATTTAGAGAGCAAATGCCCTCAAGGCTCTGAACAGATTAAGAATTGTGACCTGGAGTCACTTGCAGAAATTGATGATCTGTAAACTTTTACCAAAAAACAAGCATTGAGCATGGGTGTTTGGCATGAAAATTATGTCTTAATATGCATGAAATTGATCCAACAACAGGATAAAATAATACCCTTACATTTTACTTATCTTGAAAACAGTGACGTACAAAAGGCACCATTGTGCCTTTCTCCAATGTGCTGTTTACTTTTTCTGGCAGATTATACTAGAAACAAAACATATTAAATTTATGCTTTCTGTAAAAATTCTTTAATGTTAAATATTTGGGACTTAAAAATACTTAGATGTTACCCATGTAATCATTTGTAAATTTCACCTCATTAAAAACAATTCATTCCCCATATAATTTAAAAGTTCCTTAGGATACATTTATTTGGAATATTTTTAAAGTTTTAATTCCTTTTATTCTTTAACAAATCCTACTGTATTTTATGCACAACCATTTCAATTCGATGCTGTTAATCTATGTGTTGGGTTTATGTGAATAAGAAACCACTTCCAAGCTTAATATAAGAAATCAAAATATAAATAGCACATATGTTTTTTCCCCTAACTAGAGATAAAATCCAACGTTGTGCCACTTAGTCTTAAGAATTAGACATCTATAGGGCTGTGAATTCAGCTCAGTGGTTCCGTTGCCTGCCTTTCAAGTTCAAGGTCTCAAGTTTAATCCCCGGCACCCCCACCCCCGCCAAAAAAAGAATAAGAACTCTATAATAAAGGAAACAAATTTGCTAATGGTTTTCGTATGCGAAGAATTTCAGGGGAACTTTAACATCACTCCTCCAATTTACTAAGCAACTTGACAGAAACCATGCACCAGGTCTCAGTGTATTCATAATCTCTAAAATTAAAAATAGTAAACAATTGAAGTTTTCAAAGAAAAGCAGAGCAAGCCCATCTTAGTGAACATCTTTAGTGTTCTAATTTAAGGACACAGTTTGATAAAGAGAAAGAGTATATTTCATTATTAAAGTAAAAGTGGTATCTCCCTAGAAATACTTGCATCTGAGAAGGTAAACTGAGTACAAACTAATTCCAGGTTTTCCTCCTATACATCCTTGACGATGGTAGACGTTCCTGGCTAGAATTTTGATTTATTACATTATCTACTAGGTATTAGTGAACATGTGTGTTTATGTGTGTGTTGTCCTGAAAGAGTTCTATGCTCCATCCTCAAAATCAAACTCACTGAGGTCCATAGTGCTGTTTGTACATCTTAGACATGGGTCTATATAAACGTGCCTTAAATATTTTTTTTTGAATTTGCACATACTTGCCTTTTCTTCTAGAAGCAAGAATCTCTCTATATGTAACTGGACTATGGAATAATTAATTTTATACATTTCTATGGAATTGCTCCAAGCTTTTTAATTAATCTGTAGACTATGTGTAGTAATAGTAGTTTTTCTATATTTTAAAGGCAAAAGTAAGAAAGAGATGAAAATATATATTACAAAACTAGGTACTACACAGATATTTTATTTTACAGATGAGAAGGTAGAAAGTACAAATGTAACTAAAATATAGAAATTCAAATATATTAGAAATATTATACTCTAGTCTTAATTTTTATTTTATTTTTCATGGTGTTTAGTGCACACACTTTGAAACTTAATTTATCCATCATTTGTGAAGGAGAAATTTTATAATGTTAACAAGAGAGTATTTCTTTCAAGAAATACAATGCCAGTCATTTAATATACTGCCAGAAACTACAGTAAAATTTAAGGTAAATGAATTTAAATGTTTGAAGATCCTCCAACACATATTGGTCTCCAAAGCTCACCTTCATCATCTCTCTCATCTCCTTTTGGGCTAATCCATAAAAATCCTCCATTTCTGGCCAATATATCTTCCTGAGCATGAGTAAGAAATAAAATAAAGTTTTTTGTATGGAGTTATGGGGATAATCTTGATGATAGAAAAAGAGGGCAAGGAAAAGAAGGAGAATGTCTGATTAAATGTACTCATGAAAGTCTCCAATGTTTGCAAACTGACCTCTGACCTTGCCCTTGAGACAGCCAGTCCTTCCCTGGTGAAGTGCGCTTCCTGTCTTCTTCACCACCATGGACACCAAGGGGAAAGGTACGTGCAGCACCCCAGGGAGTGGTTGGCTTCACTGACACTCTTATGTGAGTTACTACGAAAAAACTGAGCTAATTCCAAGAGGTTTCAGATTAATGAGTGTAGAAGAAGTGTGATTCTTTATCTGGAAATGAATTTCACAGGGCTTAATAGAGTAAGTCAGTCATCAAGTGGTGGACCTTCCTAGCTTTAGACATTTGGCAAAAGCTAAAGAACTTTTGCAGTGCATTAGTGGAGGTCATGGAGCACAGGCTGGTTGCTATTGCTATTTCATGGAGAGAGGACAGGGTGCTGGTAAGCACTGTCCAGTGCACAGGATAGATCTCTTAACAGGAGCTTAGGTAGCACAGAAAGCCACAAGGCTGAGTTTGAGCTGCTCTCGACCACAAGAGCCAATGAGTTCAATTTGTTTCCTCTCCAGAAGGTCAAAATGAAATTTTCTTCTTCCCTGGTCTATTACCTGATTTGACCAAGTTGAGTCACCTTGGTAAAACTTTCAATTCTGAGGCCACAATGCAGGAATAAGGGTGGATGTGCATCTTATGTGGGGTTCTTAGATTCATTCAAGCCTTTTAAAAATGAACAGAAAGCTAGTGTTAAATAGTTGCTTTTGCTTCCTTAGACATTTTAGATGAAAAATAAATTAGTAACAAGTATAAATTTTGTATGATATAAACAATAAAATTATTTGTGTATTTTATCCTATCTTTGTCAAAATGAATACAATAATAAATGTGCAGATAAATGTACTCACAGTTAAAGAACATTTATCCAGTTATAAGTTTCCTAGCACTCATACTGATTTTTCTACCTATGTAGCATATTTCATTAACACATGTACATAAAATATCCAATTAACATTGTATTCCTGTAGATTGCATAAAGTAAATTTTTGGATTCAACATTATTTTAGAAAAGTACAACTCTATCAAATAAATCACATTATTTTAAATTTGTGGCTAAAATGTTACATTATATGATGTGTAATATCAATTATATTCAATTATTATAGCTATCATGTTTAGCTATTTTTCATATGTATTTTTAAAATATTTGTCTAGTTTTATCTTGGAGATTTTCACCCATATTTGTGAAAGGTTCTGTGGAACTTAGACTTCTTATTATTACAATTTATATCAAAAACTCTTTGGGATTAGTGCCACTGAAAGTAAAATATGAGTTTAGTTTTTATTTTCTGAGCGTGAATCATTACTAAGACTTTTATTATTACTATTGGTTGAATGTTTCCATCCCCAGGAAGAGCAAATTTATGAAAGCACCTCTGATCATTCACAAAGATTTTGAAAGTGATAATTTATAGAACAGAGAAAGTAAATCCTGTCTAGCCTCTGAGCCCCTGTTACCCTATTACAAATGCAGTGTTGTTCCTCTCAAGAATGACAGTAACCTCTGCACACACTGCGCCCCATGACCCCAGATGTGGTCCCTGCTGCACAGATGCAGACTGAGAGCCCACGGGTGAGCAGGACGTGAGGAGGTGAAGGGCGAGGACCACAGCCTGGGTATTCTGACTCTGCCTGCTAGTGGTAGGACTCAGGGAAAATCGTTTCACTTTTTAAAATATGGTATTTCAATACACATGATGATTTTTTCAGAGCCTCAGTCAGTTCATGAGGATTATAATAAAACTCAAGTTTGGAAATTTATCTAAAATTATTGAAAAGGTGTGAGGCTATTTCGTGGTATTATTATGGTGAGTTAGGAGATCCAGGCGATGGCCTCTTTTAATGACAGGATTCTCCTCATACCCAATATCAACAACCAAGCAGCCCTGTGTTTATATTTATGAAGCATGAAGATGAAACCTACAGATAAAATGTGGTATACTCAAGTAACTGTTTAAGATGCTCATATCTATTAGTGATTTAAAAAATTACAAACTCCTGGAGAATCTTACTGCTGATCAGCTGCAGAAATTCCAAAGATATACTATTTTAAGAGACTGCTTTAAAAGTCTTGAATCAAATTGAGTTCAATTTCCAAGTGTTTGCCAAATACAAAAGCACTTGTTGGTGTATTGTGAAAATACAGGAGTCATCACTTCTCAGACCCTGAGAACATACCTCACCTGCAGGGGCGCAGTGGAAGCTGTTAGTTCCTCCTTATCTGAGCTCTCACAGCACCGAGTCATGCCTTGGGGCAGCGGAGATAGACAAGGCTTCCCTGGGCAGGAAGGCTTGTGATGACCTCACCGAATAGCTCATCCCTGATGCTGTGGTTCTGTTTAAGCAGGGCCCCTCCTCCTGCTGCTGGCATCCACCCTGGTCCTGAGCCAGAATGAGGCCTCCCATAGCACTTGTGTTCCGGGGGACAAATGTCACCTGATTCTCCAGGAACTGTATCATAGTGCAACCTATTTGTCTCAGAGCATGCATTTCTATGCTTTAGACCTGTTCTTGGAGTTGGTAAGTATCTCATTTTTTATACCTTCCCAAGTGGAGACATCTCATCCACTATTGGCCTACAATATATTTCAGACTTGAACTCAGCAATGAAATATCTAATAATAAATATTAATATGATTAACAATGGTGTCAGCCAATAATCTTGGAACAAGAACGGAATTTTTAATAAAATCTTAAATTCAAAAAAATAATGATTTAAAAAACCCATTATTACACATGATTTTTAACAATTTAAACAGCTGAGATATCACTTTTAAGCAGGGCTGACGAAGAGCACTGATTTCTTGCTCTTGCACACAGGGCCAGTCCTCGGGCGTCCTTCACTGGTGCCCTGCAGACAGCTGAGACGTGAGAACGGCTTTGCAGTGCACTGGGGGATTGAGTAGAGTTCAATAAACTGAAGTCTCTTAGAGGAAAGATATCCCACATTAACAGGCTTTAGAAATGTGCAAATACTCAAACTATTTTTTGAAAGATTTCCAGTGTAGAGTTTATAATTAGCAGAGACATGCTAGATCAGAAGAGGACAAAAGTGCACTCCTTCCACACACACTTGGAACATTGCTCTGTCTTCCAGATCAGACAATTATGGTTTAGAACAACCAAGAACCTCCATAGATAACGTGGCCCAGCAGGTGTGATACACGCATATATGGTTTTCGTCTCAATGTATTATTTACAATTTCCTATGGTGTTTTGCTCCATTTTATTTCTTAGCTTGTCACATGAAATACTTTGTATTTTGAACTTATAAAGTTTTCAATATTCATGTTTATGGATTAAAAAGCATTTGAAAAACACAATTATTTCTCTTTATTTAAAGAAACAATATCACTTTGGACCCAGAGGAAAAAGAGATTCAAAGGGAAGATATAGGTGCATATGCAGGATGGGTTTAGCTAATGCACTAGAGAAAGTGATAATTACAGAACGTACAGGTTTGCAGTTTTCACAGCTTTTAGGGTTTGCATTTGAAAGTGTGACTCGTGGGAAGGGTGAGAGGATGGGGCACTGCAAAGAAGTGAAGAGGTGGAGAGGTTAGAAATGAGCTGAAAATAGTGAGATTACAGCGCTACTGGAAACACCAGGCTCAATGGTTACTTTTAAAATTCAGATTTAGTTTTTATGTAGATCTCACTTTTCAATAAATTACACATCCACCAAATGTATTCATATTTTTAAAATGGATTCATGGTTTCAAATGAATCCATACAAATGAAATTTTCTTCATCATTTCAGACGGAGGTGTATTCCCATCGACCAGGCTACTTCTCACCAGCCAAAAAACGGTGCCACATGGCTGATATCCTCACTCCAGCTGAGCGGGAGGAGGCCAGGCTGATGCAGGTGAGTCTCTATTCCCGCTCCGCCAGAACAGCTGAGGCGGTGACTGGCTCTGCCCTGCCTCAGGCCCTGCGAGGCTCTGTGATTAGGGGTAGCAGTAGTCACACCTGCTGAGAAAGGGGAAGAGGAAGAATTCAAAGGAAAGGGCTCCACCTAGTTGTTGAACTATACACAAAAATCTAAGGTTAAATGAAGATTGCACTGGAATCAGAAATTGGCCATGCACGTCATATTACTTTAGCCTATGCCTTGTACCTAGCACTGAATATAGAACGCTGCTTGAATCTGAGCTGAGCTGGCTATTCAGGGACACGTGTAAGATGTGCAGATTCATCCTTGTGGATCACAG